AGTCAGGATACGATGCAAGGGAAATGACAGACAGACACACTGTGTAGTGAAAATCTGCTGCAATTTTACTTCTGTAAAGCTTCAGTTTTTGTACAAAACAGATCAAAGAAGTTGGCAGGTTCATTACATCACCCCACTCAGGGTTCCAGACATAAATCAAGATTAAGCATAACCAAAATAGAGCTTCTTCTACGTGCTCCTTTCTACGTGTTCCCCCTTCCGTGCTCAAGATGTTGGCAAGGACTTTTAGTTTTGTTTTGTCTTTTAGAATTCTGTCTCACACCATTATTTACTTTCTACCGTGGGAGACTAGTTCTCAGGGTCCTGTGTTTAGCTTTCCATCTATATAGTTTTTATTCTTTGCTCCATATCCCCTAATAGTTTTCTCATTTTCTCATGATAGTTCCTATACCAATATATTAAAACTAGTCTCATGTTATCAATAATTTCCTTTCTTTCCTTCTTACTATAAAGACTCCAGGGCTTCTGAGATCTAGCTAATCTTTTCATAAAGGGGAATTTTCTCTAACTCTCCTTTTCTCTCTAAATCTGATTCACTATGACGATTCCCTCATAACATATCAACTTTAGCCGCTTCTGTTTCATAAATAATAAAGTTTCCCAGGCTCATGTGGCGTGGGGCATACTTCAGTTCCTCAAGGACTGCTTTATTGAACAGTGGAGCCAAGCCAAGGACGTACTTTGATCTCTTGGTAAGCGGTCAGCTACAAACAGGAAAAATAAGAAATACAGAGAAAGATCAAGCAAGGTGTCAGAAGGGCTCACTCTCAAGGCCATCTCCAGATACGAGATTTGCCTAGGGCATCAGGTCCTCTCTGGACTGCTGATTGCCAGGGGGACCACCTGGGGCTTCGCTCCAAGAAGCTCTAACCCCAATCCTTCAGCAGGCAAAAGCCAGCGCAGAGGCATTTTTGTCACTACACAGCAGTCACTGCTGTGGACGTGGCACCCTCAGTGCTTTGGCTCCCGCTCAGTCCTGTGGAGCTTTTCAGCTCTTGGACACTGATAGGGCTGAGGTCGTTCTCAGTTAAAGTCTAGCAGATACAGCTGACGGGGTCCCTAAAGCTTGCCGTGCAGTGAGAGCTGAGGTGGACCTTCCCACGCATGCCATCGACCCTCTTTTCTGTGCAGGTCCTGATATCCGAAGGCTTAGGGCGCTACGCAAGGGACCCAAAATTTGTCTCAGCAACGAAGCATGAGATTGCCGATGCCTGTGACCTCACCATAGACGAGATGGAGAGCGCGGCAAGCACTCTGCTCAATGGCAGCGTGTGTCCTCGAGCCAATGGGGACATGGGCCCCATCGCACACTGCCAGGACTATGAACTCCAGGACTTCGGTCCTGGCTACAGCGACGAGGAGCCAGACCCTGGGCGAGAGGAAGAGGACCTGGCGGGTGAAATGATCTGCATCACCACCTTGTAGCCCAGTGAGGGAGGCTGGCGTCAGCCTGGGATGGGCACGGGAGGGCCAGGGATAAAGTGCCTCATAGTTAGGACCGTCTAGGCACTAGTTGGGAGAAAAATGCTCAATTAGAATTTTGTACAAGTGATATCACGCCCCCAAGGAAGCCATAACCTGGTAGGAACAGGTTCTGAGTGGCCAAGCGTGTGGTATGCCACATACTCGGGCCCAGCCTCAGAAGACGGTATGTCTGGCCCCTCGAGAGGATGGGTGAGGAGGGCAGCCTGGCCTGCACAGAGGCCAGAAGGGCTGCACAGGAATTCAAGTCTCACATCCAGAGCACATGCCCATGCCCATTTACCTGAAGGCACGACAGAGGTTCAAGGTGGTGGCGGTCACCACATCTGTGTCATTACCTCAGTCACCAGTCCAGCATATCAGACACTCACCGGGCCCAGCACAGCCATTTCTGAGCCCCTCCCCCAACACACTGCTTCCTGATTCCTGTGCAGCTGTCCAGACCGAGGGGAGAGGGAGCGGACAGACACGGTTTTGTTATGTGACGCCAGTTTACATACGAGAACATCACTCAGGTGGTCAGTTCTGTCACACGAAGGGCAACTGTAAACTGGAGGAGTAGCACTTGCTAACCAGGTAAACTTAGATACGTTAGTTTGTTTAAAAAATGGTAGATTCCTGTACATGACTTGTAATATACAATTTGTATTTGTAAAGAGATGGTCTATATTTTGTAATTATCGTACCGTATTTGAACTGCAGCAATATCCATGGGTCCTAATAATTGTAGTTTCCCACCAAAATCTAGAAATTATTAGTATTTTTACTTGGGCTAAACAGAATTAGGAGAATTAGAGCCAATTCTCACATATTTAGTAAAAGAATCTTTTGGGGATAAACTTTTGAGTTCAAAAGAACTTGACACTTCAGAATTTTTCTAAAATATTTTGAGTCACTATAAACCTATCTTTACATAAGATATCAAGATGACTATTTGCTCTTTTTTTGGGTTCTATGAGTTTATACTGTACCTCTTATCTTTGGTTTGGTTTCACTTTATAATCCCCTGGTCAGCTGGTTATATAGCAGGTCCAGCTGGCTACTCCACCCAGGGGCATCCACTGGTCCAGCTTCCTGAGCTGCCCTTGCAGGATGCTTCTGGTCTCTGATGCTGAAATAACCGCACAGGCGAACTACAGGCATCGGTTCACATTCCCAAGGATGTACCAGCATGGGGAAGAGGGGAGCACTGTGAGGACCGGGAATGTTGGGGTCTGTCCAGGGTGTCCTGTTGCCTTTCATAGCTGCTGCGCACTGTGTTCTCTTGGAAAGCGGTTAGTCGCAACTGAGCGAGGGTGGAATCTTCATGAGAACACACGCACTGACTGTACGCCCAGGCACGGCCAGCTTTGGGATCGGTCAAACTGTCCAAGGTTCCCGTTCTGTCAACAGTCACGTGATACATCCTATTTTTTTTTTTTCTGATAAGGATTCTCTGCAATCAAAGATACAGGTACCAATTTGTGTTCAAAATTTTTATCTAGTACACAGACAGCCTGTGGAAAAACAAGTTTTTTGGGTTTGTTGTTTGTTTGGTTGGTTTTTTTTTTTTTTTTTTTTTTTTTTAAAGAACTAT